GCTCAAGTGGTAGAGCGCTAGCCTTGAGCTGAAGAGCTGAGGGACAGCGCCCAGGCCCAGAGTTCAGGCCCCACGACCAGACCCCCCGCTTCCCCCCCCCAAAAAAAAATAGATGGAGGTCTGGAGGCATTCTTGTTGGAAAGCCAGGTTGACAGGATACCTTCATATGCTTATCCTGTTAGCTGTTAAGTCACAGAATGGGGGTGGGGGTGGGGCAGAAGGGACAAAAACCTAAATCTGTCTGTCCCTGCAGTGTACTTGGTGTGCGACACTACACTGTGTGCATTGAAGCAGCCACGGGATTTCTGTTGCGTCTGCGTGGAAGCCAAAGAGGTGCCTACCTTGCTGGAGATAAAGGAGGCTGGGGTGGTGGTGTGAGAAGCCATTGGTGTACACTGGGTTAAGGGGAGAATTGAAGCACAATTTGGGGCTGGGCTACTATACTGACCACACCCTAAATTCATCTGTTTTGTTATTATAGTCAGAACTCACAGCTTTGTGTTCCCAGGGGCACCTTTCTATCATGGCAGCTCAGTCTGTGTATGACACATCCATGCCGAGACCCAGTAGAAGAATGGTCCGAGGGGAGGTCCTGCCCAGTGCCTGGATCCTGCAGCCTGTCAGCGTGGAAGGAAAAGAAATAACCAGAGTCATCTTCTTGGCCCAGGTGACGGCCTTGCAGGTTGCATAACACACCATGGGATCTTTCTGTCCAGGTGGTCAGGCCGTGACCTGAGTGCCAGAGTCGGGGGGCTTCTTGGGCTGTGGGTACAGGGAGTCAGAGGGGGAGGCACAGGAGTTTACCAGTGTTTCTGAAGCTGCTATGGAACCTGAGACATTAGCAACCTCTATGTCCTGTGCCAGACGCCATGTCCTTCAACGGACGGGTCGGTTGTGGGGCCTGAACTCTGGGTCTGGGCACTGTCCCTCAGCTCTTCAGCTCAAGGCTAGCGCTCTACCACTTGAGCCACAGCGCCACTTCCGGCTTATGTGGTGCTGAGGAATCGATCCCAGGGCCTCAGGCATGCAAGGCAAACTAAGCCACCTTCCCAGCCCCCAATGGATGGGTTATTACAAAGTACAACAGCCTTGGCAGAACTGGTCATCCATTTTGTGCCATTCTCTACTCCCAGTCCCCCTTAAGTTTAGTGACAAACTTAATTGGGAGGTGAAAGCTGATGCTTGTATCTCTGCACACTAGGCCAGTGGAACAAGAGGTACACCTCCCATCCCCACAGCCTGGGGCTTGCTGCTTGGGCTGGGCTTGGAACCTCCAGATCTATCTGCCATTAGTTCTTCTCTCTGTGCTTTCAGGTAGAGCTGGGTGCACCAGGCTTCCCCCCTCACCTCCTGAGCTCCTTTATCAAACAGCAGCCGCTGGTTGTAGCCAAGCTGGCTTCCTTCCTTGGTAGCTAGCACTGTGCAATCGAGAAAGTGCTGCTGAGATGCCAGCCCAGGATGCCCCAGAGATGCTGCGGCCACTCCTTGGAGTTTGCGCTGAGGCCAGAAGAGCCCAGGCTTACCTGCGGTGGCTGGTGACAACCAGTCTGGCCCAGGGCCGCCAGCAAATCCCGTCAGTTCTGACCACCTTGCAGAGCCAGCAGCCTGAGCTCCAGACCTGGCTGTCCAGAGTGAATGAAGCGCCACACACCTTCTGGATTTCTCACCTTTATTTCCCATCTGTGAGACTGTGGCACATGACCTGTTCAAGGACAGAATGAGGTGGGGACTGCAGTGCTGCTTTGGCAAAGTGCCTCCCTGGCAAGCAAGCACTGGCCAAGACTTCTCTGGATCTTCCACTAGCATCCAGCTCCACTTTGTGATGGAGTGGCAGAAAGGACAAAACTGGAAAAAGCGTTTAAAAAAAAAAAACAACTGCACAAACCAGAATACGGATTCAGGTTTGTTTCTCTGTTGAATGTTTGCAAAATGCTTTTGCATTTTTGCTTTTTTTCCATTCCTTGAAGAGGGCATTTGGGTTTTTGCGCCAGTTAAGAGTGCTGAGCAGGCCGGCCGCTGGTGGCTCACACCTGTAATCCTAGCTCAGGGAGGCTGAGATCTGAGTGTGAGACTCTTATTTCCAATAAACTACCAGAAAACCAGAAGTGGCGCTGTAGCTCAAGTGGTAGAGCGCTAGCCTTGAGCTGAAGAGCTCAGAGTCAGCACCCAGGCCCAGAGTTCAAGCCCCACAACCAACAACAAAAAAGTGCTGAGCAGTGTGGCGTTCAGTGAGTTGGGAGACTTCCATACAAGCAGGTGGGATGTGGGTCAGGGTGCCATCGTCTGATGCTCTTGAGAGGTGAGGGCAGCCCCACACAGGTTGCTGATGAGCAAAGACCGATTCCAGATGTTAGAACTGACTTCTGAGGATATGGAGATGGAGGTGGTAGGTAAGGGACTGGTTAGCAGGAACGTCAGCATGGGGAGGCAGCCTCCAGCACTGAGCTGATCCTCCCTCACCCATTCCAGGAGAGGACAGAGAAGGGGGAATTCAGTATTCTTCTTAGCCTGGATGAACAGAGTTCTGAGGATTCTGGATGTTCACCTGAAGTGGTAGGTGCCAGAGACATTTCCACCTTTTCTTTTTTGTTGTGTTGGTACCCAAGGTTTGCCTGTTCAGCTTGCTTGTGCTCTGCCACTTGAGCCCTTAACTCCAATCCAGCTTTCTGTTGGTTATTTTTGAGGTAGTGTCTTAATTTCTCTGCCCAGGCTGGCTTTGTATCATGATCTTCCACATCACCACTTCCTGAGCAGCTAGGATTATAGGTATGAGCCATTCATGTCCAGCAGAAACTTTTGGAGCTCTGTTTTCCCAAATCTTTGGTGGAAAAGGGTAATCAGATGGAGATTGAGAAAACATGATCAAAAGTGAATTTCTATAGTGAAGCAAAGAATTTCCTGAAGCTGTTTGCAGGATTTTTTTCTTTTACCTCAGATTAAGTTATTTATATATTATTGAAGGTTTTATAATTTGCTTTTGAACTCTACCTAACTTATGTATTCCCAGCTTTTTTCATATAAATCTCACTACTGAACAAATGGCCAAAACATCTGTAAATTCCCATGTGTACTTTCATTTAGTGAAGACTCTCCCTTCCTAGTGGCAGATACCCCTCAGGTTAAAAGCTTTTCTGACAGCTGCAACATTTCCTCTAAGAAAAACTGCATGCAGATACTTTCAAACAGGAGTGTCTATTAGTAGTCTACTTTCGCCAGAAGCACTTGAATCTTACTCACCAAACGGAAAACAAATGAACTTAATGCACTTTGTCAAAATAATGCTTTTGGTTTTTCTGGAGCCAAATCAACTCCCTTCGACCCCAACAAAACAGCATCACAGAAGCTGCCCACCATGATTTAGCAGGCTCTTTGAAGTAGAAAAACACTTCAGCTATACATGAAAAGGAGTCGCACAGGAAATATCAGTATGTAGGGCAAAATTCATAGCAGATATTGCTTCTAGGCCCAAGGATGGATATGTATGGAGCATGCAGAATCAAGCACTATTACAACTCCCAACTCCAAGCTCACCTTCCAAAGAGAGAAAACAGGTAAGACCTATCACACCTTTGTTAAAGAAAACAAATTTATTTTCTTAAAAAACTTATTGTTCTGCCCTGTGCTTGGTCTCTGGATGGAAAGAGGGTCTAAAGAGATATTATCTGCACAGAGGGAAGTCCACTGTTTCAGTTAAATGCTACCACACCTGCTGAACACACAGCAGTTCTGTAGACTCCGACTCCCAAGGTCTGTGTTAATGTTACAAGCTATGCAGAAGTCCTTTGCTTCTGTCAGGATCTCTCAGAACCACAGTTTAAAAGCAAGGCTTGAGTCCTGTTGCTAGCCGACACGCTTCATTTCATTTAGCAACCAAGAGGCTTGCCCATCAGTTCTTCTGCTCCAGGTCTGGAGTCTCTAGGCTTCTTCATTACCCTGAATCAGGGCCCTCTCCTTCCTCTAGGACTGGGTGGCGAGCCTGCCGTCGGTGGAATGGATGCTCAGCAGCCATGTCCTTCCTGCCTACCAGAGCAGGATGTCCCACTGCAGATCTGCTACTTCCACCTCAGCAAGGGCTGCCGCAGTGGCTGTCAGCCTCCTGTGGCTCAGGCAGGCAGGGCTCTTGTGAAATGCCCAGGCAGGGCCATTTTCGAGTCTTAGCTCTGGGCCAGCACTGTCCCCCGGTTTGGTTGCACCAGTTCACAAGCTCTCAACTGGGGTTCTGGCAGATGGGGCTCAGATAGAAATAAGTGGAACAGTGTAGCCAGTTCTTCAGAGAAATCCTGGGAAAGACACATGAGATCTGGATAGTCTATCTTTTCAAACGATGGAGTATAAGCATCAGGTCCTAGCTAATCAGTGAGGAGATGACAATCTACATTTGTTCTCCCCATAAGGTCCTCTATGTTGAAACAGACATGAAGTCTGTGTTACTACCATCTGGGAAACTCCAACTGGAAGCAGAGGTTAAACCATCTATTAAGCAAACAGTATTTCAACTTGAAGTTATTAATGTAGTTCAACGTAAGATAGTTATGATTTAAAACAAACTGAACCAAATACACAGATTAAAATCTGAGTTTAAAAAAGTGCCATTCACTCTTCCGTAGTGCTTGCCTTCCCCTTCGTAGGCCCTCAGATCTCCATCTCAGGCCAAGCACAGTAGTCACTCCTTGATTGCAAGGCAGTGGTCCTCAAGAAACCTAACAAAAGTCCGCTTAGTAGCCAGGCCTGCTGATGTGAGCCTACAGCCCTCAGGAGGACCACAGGTTTGAAATCAGGTTGGGGTATGTATTGAGACTATTTTTGGGGTGCTGTGCCTGGGCACTGCCCCTGAGCTTTTTTGCTTAAGGCTGGCACAAATACCATTTTGCACCACAGGTCCACTTCTGGCTTGTTGGTGGTTAGAGATAAGAATCTCACAGACCAGGAACTTTCCTGCTTGGGCTGGCTTTGAACTGTGATCCTTAAAACTCAGCTTCCTGAGTAGACAGAATTACAGGCGGGAGCCACATCCCTTTCCCTGTTTTTGTCAGGACAAATGGGACCTATTCTCGCTACATACAATAGAGACATAAGGATGACTGCTTACCACTGGCCACTGGGCCTCATGGAGACTGCCCAGACAGGCCTCTATCTCCATTCGTCCCATGAGACCCATCTCTACCAGCTCCCGGAGCAAGAACAGCAGGAGGTCCCACTGCAGAACACAGCACAGAGGTCAGTGTTGTGAGGAAGGCACAGTGACCCTAACAGCTGCAGAGGACAGAGGTGCTGAGAAGGGCAGGCTTTAGAAACGCAAAGGGAGCTTAGCATAAAACAGGAAGAGGAGAGAGAATAAAGGGAGACAATTCATAATATTTGGGATGACTGGTGGCGGACACTGAAGAGTGTAAAGAGTGTTAAGGCTTCATGCCCTCCGCGTCACTGACTCACCTCCCTTGGCCGAGTGTCTGCCAGAAGCCCGACGTTTCTCGGACTCAGCAGCAGCTGTAGTGGAACTGGCCCCTGGAAATCATTTTTCCATAGGGAGAGCAGCATGTGCAGAAGCCTACGTGCCTGTCCTCGCTCTAGCTTGTGCTGTGCTGGAGGCCCAAGAATGGGGATCTGGTCTGCTACTATGGGAAGAAAGGGAAGCTTGAGTTTTAAGCAGAGGCAGAGAGGTATGTGTCCTTTATCCTAGTTGTAGGTAACCCAACCCTGTATGTAATTTAAGGGCTGTGACAAGACAGGGATTTAATAGGAAGAAGCCATACCCAAGAGAGAAGCTAACTCCACAGAGCACTTTGCCAGATGTTGCTCAGCAGGTGGGCACAGGAACTGGGGGGAAAGAAGCAAGGCATTAGCATCAGCCTTACTGCTCCAAGGACTGGCCTGGGCCAATGGCCTCTGTTTGAGGCAGGCACTTGTGGCCCAGACCTATAATCCCAGCTACTCAGGAGGCTGAGATCTGAGGATTGCAGTTAAAAACCAGCCTGGGCTGGTTTTGAGAATCCTTGAGACTTTTTTTGGTCGGTTGTGGGGCTTGAACTCTGGGCTTGGGTGCTGTCCTTGCGCTCTTCAGCTCAAGACGAGTGCTCTACAGTTTGAGCCACAGTGGCACTTCGGTTTTCTGGTGGCTTACTGGAGGTAAGAGTCTCATGGATTTTCCTGCCCGGGCTGGCTTTGAACCAAGATCCTCAGATCTCAGCCTCCTGAGTAGCTAGGATTACAGGCATGAGCCACCGGCGCCTTGAGACTCTTGAGTCTCTTTGAGACTCTTATCTCCAGTTAACCACCAGAAAACCAGAAATGGAGCTGTGGCTCAAGAGTACTAGCCTTTTTTTTTTTTTTTTTGTCGGTCGTGGGGCTTGAACTCCGGGCCTGGGCGCTGTCCCTCAGCTCTTCAGCTCAAGGCAAGCGCTCTACCATTTGAGCTACAGCGCCACTTCCGGTTTTCTGGTGGTTTTATTGGAGATAGGAGTCTCACGGTCTTTCCTGCCCGGGCTGGCTTTGAGCTGCGATCCTCAGATCTCAGCCTCCTGAGTAGCTAGGATTACAGGCGTGAGCCACCAGCGCCCGGCAAGAGTACTAGCCTTGAGTGAAAGAGTTCAGGGACAGTGCCCAGGCCCTGAGTTCAAGCCCCATGACTGATAATAACAAAAGACAAGGACACACAGCTACCATGTGGTACATGCCAAACCTCACCTGGCGGCACCGCAGGGACTGGCCCAGCTGGTCGAGGAGCTGCTCCAGATGCTCTGGGGAAACGCCTTCCTCAGGGTCTCGGGGCCCCACGGCCAGAGAGAGCACGTCCTGCAGAGAGCAGCGTGAGACCTCACGTGCTAGGCTACCGAAGTAGTTGGCTTAGAGTGGGGAACAGCCAGTGGCAGAAGGAAAAGGAGTATAGGGCCTTTAGGGGTGAAGCAACTGGACTGTGTCCTTAGAGTTGAGGGTCAGGCAGAATGACACAGCTAGGACAAGCAACCAACCGTGTGGACAGTCCAGAAGGAAATACGTCACAGGAGAGCTTGAGGCCTGCGTGCTGCCTACTACAGCTCAAGGTGTCACGCACCTTGGGACAAAGCTACCTAACTCCCAGAGGGCATCTTTCCTATCAAATACAGACTTGTTTCAGTACAAAAATCCTCTACCCTGAGAATCGGGTCTAGCGGCCACATCTTTTCTCCCCTCCAGTAGTGGTCGCTGCTGCTTCCACTTGGGCAGGCCATCAGATCTATCTGTTCCAACTGTTCAGCTTTGCTGTTGTAGCACAAAACCAGCCACAGACAAAAAAATGGATTTGGCCATCATCAATAAAACAAATGATAAGACTTAATTTGGCCCATAAGATATTTGCTAACCTTTTCCACAGAAGTCTGATCTTTTTGAGTTAGATTTATTCTTAGTGACTCAACAAGCCTTCCTTCTCACATGGAAGAGCATTACAGAAATGACTACACGCCAGGGGACTGCTCCTTACACACCTTCCTACTACGCTTCAGAGCTACGAACCCCCATCCGTGGATAATACACTCAGAGTCTACCTTCGTGCCCTTTTGGACAATTCTAGAACAAAATGTTAGGAGCACACCGGTTCAGTTTTGCCCTACCTTCCCATTTAGTAGTCAACAACAGAAACTAGGCAGACACCACAACACGGAAAGCTGCTACAAATCCTGGCGCCGATATGAGGAAGGAAAGAAACAAAGCGGGGAGTAGGGAAGCCAAGGGGAGTAGGGTAGCTGTGTACTTTGATCTCGGAGATGAGGTGGGAAGGGAGGGGAGCGTGGTGCTCACAGGCGCGGGAGCAGCCCCTCCGTTCCACGCGGGCGGCCGGCTCAGGACCCTGGGCTCGAAGCATGCGACTCACAGCCGCTTTCACCTCCCTCCGAATCAGCGCTGCCGGAGAGAGAAATGGGGTCACTGGAACACCACTAGCATACACAAGGGCTTACCGTGGCACCCCATACCCTTCCATTATTTCCAGATGGCTGAAACTCATTTCTCCCAAGTCAAATTGCCGGTCCTGCTCTCTTTTAAGTATTAGTTCAGCCACTTCCATTTCCTGGGCCTTACCTGTGATGTTGGCTGACAACCAAGTGCAGGCTTTCTCTGTTGCGAGCCCGATGGCTATGTTCTCTGCACTGCTCAGAACCTATGACACAGAACAACTGCATAGTCAGGAGCGAGGGAAGGGCGTGCAATGATGGATACCAGAGTCCAGGACTGACACCCCCTAGCAGACACGTGCACAACCACCAGACAGTTCCAGGCCTCCCTCCATACCGCTGCTGGGGTCTCTTCTGGAAGCAGTGCCCGCACAGCTCCTGGGCTCTTCCTTTGGCAGAACCTGAAAAGGCAGTTTCCCGAGTCACCTGACTGGGAGGTTCTCCCTAAGGAGGTAGAGTCATCATCCCTTACTCCACCACAAGTACAGGAGGACGAAGAGACCCTCCTATCTCCCCTAGCACACAACTCCCCCAAATCAGCATTTGGATTTTGTGACCAAAGACACAGCCTACAAAGAAGGGGGAAAAAAAAAGGGAAGGGAAAGAGGAATGGAACAGAGGGTATTCGTGTGAAAGAGGAGGGGAAGGCAGAAAGAGGCCAAGGAGAGACGGTCCACACACACTGGGGCACTGGGGCTCTTACTCCCGCCCCTGGGTCAGTGCGTGGGCTCCACGGGGGCACAGCTGGGAACACAGGCTCTCTAACAACTGCGCAGCATCTCCCCCTTCCTGTCCATGCGTCACCAGCTGCTCTTGGACAAGTGACTCTGCCTGGCGTACCAGATCTGCAACCAGCGTCGCCCTAAAGCAGGAACAAAGTTGGGATGTTTGGAAGGGCTAAATAGGAAAGGGGTGGCAAACCCCAAACCGTCTGCTCAGAACTCCCCTGAAAAGGATGTAAGCAACCCCAGTGGACTCAGTTCAATGAAGTGTGAACTCAGCTGAAAGGGAGGAAATGGAAAGACTGTGACGAGGACCCTCACTCCAGTCTTACTTGATGTGTTTGACACAGTTTGATCCGATTCTCTCTGCCACAAACTCCACGGTCCTGCGCAGGGAGGGTGGCTGGTTGTGGAAAAAGGCCTGAGCGAGCTGTGCCTATGGTGGAAGAGGAGCAGCACCGTTAGGGCATCCGTCTGCTTCCCTCCCTGCAGCCTTCTCCTCCCCTGCCCTTACCTGGAGCCCCTGGCTGGTCTGGGGAAGCTGGGCTCCCAACCCTAAGGTCGTGGTGGTGGGAGTGATTTTCCGCACAAAGCCCCCGCTACGTCCACTGCTTCCAGAAACCCATGAAGCGAGCAGTTTCCGAAGCTCTCCTGCACCAGGGAAACCTTAGATCTTAGTCCAGAAAACCTTCTTCTTCCTCCCTGCAAACATTCTAGACGTTCAAGTACTTGTGGATAAAGAAGGTAGAACACACACACAGTAGGGGGAAATGGCTAAGGACAGAGCAACTTCTTAGGTAAGGAGTCAAGACCTAGGGTGCCGTCTGTGGACTCAGGAATGGGCAGGCCCTAGGCCACCGGTGCTCACCAATGTAGGGGCAGCAGGTGTAGAGCAGCTGCTGGTCCACCACAGGTATACTGTCCTGGGGAAGAACAGGTGGGCATCAGGAGGGCAGCTTGCAGCCTTCTCCTCCCCAGACTGCCCAGAGGTGGGACAGACAGAAGAAATTTGTAAGGATTAGGCTACCTTCTGTGAAGTTCACTTGATTCCCCAGTTATGGCGCTGGCTGAACCCCAACACTTACCAAACCATGATCTGAAGCCGCTGGGTCTACCGCAAAGGCATCCACACAACACTCTTCCAGAAAGAACAAGTCCTCAGGGACTGTTGGAGTCTGGCGAGGAGGAGAGAAGGAGCTTCATGAAGCACCGAGGCTCACCGTAACTTCCAACGCACAGCCACGGCACTCGGGGCCATCCCACTCGGAAGCCTACTCTTTGGGTCCCTACTTGCTTAGCATTGGTGTTCTCTCCTGCTCTGCCACAGTAGCCACCCTTAGCCCCATCTGGACCATCTCTCTGCCCACCTGGAAAAGCCAGCCCAACACAGCGAGCAGGAGCAGCTTGTTCAGGAAGCACATCTCCCCCTCGCGCTCTTGTGATAAGACCAGGCTCCTGGAAGAGAGATGATGCACGGTATGAATGGAATAGAGGAACGAAAGCTGTTACTATAAGGTGGCTCTCAAGAGGTGTGACTTGAGTGAACTGCCAGCCTTGGGCCGGATAAGCAAAGGAGGATTTGAGGTGAGGCAGACTTCAAGCCTCACTATAGGTACAAACAAAATACACACCAAAACCTCTCAAAGATGATGAAACAATTCACTGTCCCCTAACCCAGCACTGGATTCGTGAGGGGAAGAAGAGAGGCTGTTAAAACATATAAGGAATGCAGACCCAAGAAGGCACATACAAACAAAGAAATCCGCATGAAGGAGGCAGAGTGTGATGCATAGTCTGTGGATAGCTCAGCAAGAAGAACAAAGCCTGAGCACTTCACTGCTTGCCCAGAGAAGGAGAGGCTGAAGACTGGGATGACCTCCACGGTCCCCTGTGCCATCTTGGAGTGCTGCTCCAGGAGTCCAGAGACCAGAGGGAGCCACAGGATCCACCCTAATACTCTTAGGCTGCAAAAGCCCCAAGCTACCCATACTAAGTAGACTTCATGTCTTGGCTGTGGGTCCCCAGAAACCAGGTGCCCATCAGGGAGCACTTACCCACTTACACAGCTCAAAGAAACTCTGACTCAGGGAACCATGGCTGAGGCTATCATCTGGCAGCAGTGTAGCCTTGACTCCCTGCTGAGCCCAAGAAGAGAGGCAGCAAGCACCTGCCAGCAGCTTCATCTCTGAGGCCCTTTCCCCACCTCAGGGCCCTCTATGGGAAGTAAAGCCCAACACTATCACAGCCTGAGAGAAGTCTGTAACTGTACATGTTAACAACCAGGAGGTTGGTTCAGTGGTAGAGCGCTTGCCTTGCATGCATGAGGCTCTGGGTCGATTCCTCAGCACCACATAAGCAGAAAAAGCCGGAAGTGGCGCTGTGGCTTAATGGTAGAACGCTAACTAGCCTTGAGCTGAAGGGCTGAGGGATGGCGCCCAGGCCCAGAGTTCAAGCCTATGGCCAGCCCTCCCCCCGCCCCGAAAAAAAAAGGGGGTAGTATAAGCTTTAAGCAGTTTCAGCTGTAAGGGCCTACATAAAAGAGTGCTCAAGTAAATAATCTTACGATGCAACTAGAACTTCTAGAAAAATAGGAACAAAACTTAAACCCCAAACTACTGGATTTAAGTAAAATTAAGAGCAAAAATTAATGAAAGAGACACACACAAAAACCGCCACCAGGGCTGGGAGGTTGGCTCAGTGGTAGAGCGCTTGCCTTGCATGCCTGAGGCCCTGGGTTCGAATCCTCAGCATCACATAAGCAAAAAGAAAAAAGCCGGAAGTGGTGCTGTAGCTCAAGTGGTGGAGCGCTAGCCTTGAGCTGAAGAGCTGAGGGGCAGCGTCCAGGCCCAGAGTTCAGGCCCCACGACAGGACCCCCCCCAAACAAAACCCACCAAACACACCCAAGGAACCCCCAAACAAAACCCACCAAACACACCCAAGGAACCCCCAAACAAAACCCACTAAACACACCCAAGGAACCCCCAAACAAAACCCACCAAACACACCCAAGAAACCCCCAAACAAAACCCACCAAACACACCCAAGAAACCCCCAAACAAAAACTGCAAGAATGAGACAAGCTGGTTCTCTGAAAAAATTAGTAACATTAATAAACCATAACTAATTTGATTATAGAAAAAAGGAGAAGGTAGGCATTGGCGGCTCAGCCTGTAATCCTAGCTACTCAGTAGGCTGAGATGTGAGGACTGCAGATTGAAGCCAAATGTGGCAAGAAAGTCCCTGAGGCTCTGACCTTCAATTAACCACCAAAAAGCTGGATGTGGTGTTGTGGCTCAGGTGTTAAAGTGCTAGCCTTGAGCAAACAAAAAATATCAAAGAAATTCAAAATATTATGAAGGGTTACTTAAAAAATCTTTACTCAAGTAAGTTGGAAAATCTAGAAGAAATGGACAAATTTCCAGAAACGTGAGCTGCCAGAGTTGAACCAGGAAGATACAAAACACTTCAACAGAGCCATAACAAGCAGTAAGTTTGAATCAATAATAGTTTCCCAACAAACAATAATAGTTTTCCAACAAACCGTGAATCCTGACAGATTCACGGTTGAATTCTGTAAGATCTTTAAAGTGTAACACCAATACTCCTCAAACTTATTCATGACAAATAAAGGGAAAGATCACTACCAAATTCATCGTAAGAAGCCTATATTATACTCATCTTAAAATCAGGCAAAGACCTAACAAAAAAAGACCTAACTATAGACCAATCTCTTTGATAAAAATCGTATCCTAGCTACTCAGGAAGCTGAGATCTGAGGATCACGGTTCAAAGCCAGCCTGGGCAGGAAAGGCAGTGAAACTCATCTCCAATAAACCACCAGAAAACCAGAAGTGGCGCTATGGCTCAAGTGGTAGAGTGCTAGTCCTGAGCTGAAGGACAGCACTCAGGTCCAGAGTTCAGGCCCCATGACAGACCCCCCCCCCAAAAAAAAAAAAAAAAAGTAATACGATTAGGTTGGTTTCTTCCCAGAGATGAAAGGTTCATTCAATGTATGTAAATCACTAAACATAATAGAGCACGTTAACAGAGCTAAGGACATCTCAGAAGATACAGATCACCTCAAAAGATACAGAAAAAAAACAACAGCTGGGGGTCAGTGGCTCATGCCTAAAACTCTAGCTACTCAAGAGGCTGAGATGTGAGAATCAAGGTTCAAATCAGCCTAGGCAGGAGAGCCCATCAGATACTTCTCTCCATTTAACTACTACTGAAAAGCTGGAAATGGAGGTGCAGCTCAAAGTGGTAGAATGCTAGCTTGAGCACAAAAGCTCACTGACAATGCTCAGGCTCTGAGTTCAAGCCCTAGGACCCACAACCTCTAACAAAATCCAACGCCTATTTATGAGAAAAGCCCTGGAGAAGCTAGCAATAGCAGGAACATACCTCAATATAATAAAGCCTGTATGTGACAGACCGACAGTCAACATCACACTAAATGGTGAAAAACTAAAACCATATCCTCTAAAATCAGGAATGACAAGGATGTCCATGTTTTCCATACTTTTTCAAGAATTCCTAGCCAGATCAGTAAGACAAGAAAAAGACTTAATATAGGTTCAAATAGGAAAGTGGTCAAACTACCCCTATTTGTAGACAGTATCATCTTATATCTAAAGGACCCTAGGGAATCTATCTCCCTCATGCTCCTAGAGCTGATAAATACCAGTCAGAATGGCCATCATCAAGCATATGAGTGATAACAAACGCTAGCAGATGCGGAGGAAAAAAAAACCTTGTTACACTGTTGGTCAGAACATAAACTAGTACAACCACTGTTGAAGGTAGTTTAGAGATTCCTCAAACACTAAACATAGAACCTTCCTCTAATCCAATACCATTCTTGTGCATCTACCCAGAACCTTACAAGTCAGGATATGGCAGACACCTGCATGCTCATGTTCACTGCTGCACTATTCACCAAAGCCAAGTCACAGAAACAACACAGAAATAGATCAAGAAAACATGATGTGGGGTGGGGGAAAGACAGGAGACACACACACTAGAATTTTACTCTTCAGGAAAAATGTCATTTGCAGGCACATGGACAAACCTACCAACAATTATGTTAAGTGAAGTAATTCAGGATCAGAGTGACAAATGGTCTGTTTTCTCTCATATATGGAAGTTAGATCTAAAGTATAAATATATGAAAACATATAGAGTCAAGTGCATATATAAATTAAAACATAGCATGTTCAGGGGAGGATTCCAATGTGTAACTTCCCTAAACTATTAATGAACAGTTTAACCAGGAAGCTGAAACATGTTTTGTCAGGAAAGGGAGGACCTGGGCAAACACAGTCACTATCTGCAGTGTCAGATGTGAAAATGGAACCACGTGATTTGAGGGTACACATGTATGGGAAAGATGAGGAGGGAGCGTGCTGGGAGGGGCCATAGTGATGAGGATGCATCCTGCTCAACTGACTTACGGAACGAAAACCGCTTTGTACAACTACAAGAGATAGCAGGTGTCCTCGGCTACAAGTAGACTGTCTTTGTGGAATGTCATACGTGGTCTGTCTCAGGTGGGACATAGGAAAGGGCCAAGGAAATGGCAAACAACTGCCCAAGGTCTGTCTATACATGACAAATCTTGTCTCTTTTCCATGGCTGTAGAACCATGTAGGAAGTAGTCTGTTAGGCCTCAAGAAACTTCATTGGCCCTTGTCAACTCACCGATGCAGGTGCAGCAGGAGGATAAAAATGCTCCGGTAATACTCCAACAAGGGGACAATGTGGTCCGCAAAGGAAAGGAACTCTACCAGCCAGGGCACGGTGAGCACTGCCCGCCGAGCCTGCAGCCCCTGCTGCAGCAGAGCTCGCACATCCAGGACGGGCGGGACCTGGAGAATCGGGACTCAGTGAGTGGTGGGCTCCTGGGATGCCATCTAATCTAGCAGACTTCCTGCCGAGGATCCATGGCGGCTGGTCCTCCCAGTTCCACCACTCATTCACCTGGCTCCTGAGGGCCAGAATGGAGTCTTGAAGCTCACGGGTTGGAGGTGGTTCAGGCCCTCGATATGGCAGAAAGGCCACAAAGCCCAGAAATTTAGCCAAAAGCCTCAGGCTAAGAAGCACCAGGGCAAATTGTCTCCTTTCACCCTACAGGGAATCAAGAGAAATAAAAGGTCTCAAGAGGCATAAAGGTTTTTTGTTTTTTTTTGGGTCTGGTCGTGGGGCCTGAACTCTGGGCCTGGATGCTGTCCCTCAGCTCTTCAGCTCAAGGCGAGCGCTTTACCACTTGAGCCACAGCACCACTTCCAGCTTTTTTCTTTTTTGCTTATGAGGTGCTGAGGAATCGAAGCCAGGGCCTCAGGCATGCAAGGCAAGCGCTCTACCACTGAGCCACCTTCCCAGCCCCTAGGCATAAAGTTTCTAAACTCCCAATCTGTCAAGTGTTCCTGACCAAACCCTTCCCTGAGGTCAGACCCCATTATTTCCCTTGCTCGGTTTCCTCACCTGCCAGTCTACGTCTGACTCTCCATCTTCATCACCAGGCTCGTGCTGCGGCAGGGCAAGGCCATTGAGCTCTCGTATCTTCAAGCTCAGACTGTCCATGAGATGCTGATTAAACTGGAAGCTGGGTGTAAGGGAAAAAACAACACTGGAAAACTATGCAGGAAAAACCATAATCAAGCCGTGCCCTCAGAAAGATACACAGTGTTGCCAGGTAGGCCGGGGAACAATGAAATTCCCTAAGTGGGTGAAAGAATGGGGAGCAAAATGGGAGTCAGTGTGAACCGGGAATCAGCCACCACCTAGACCCACGCTGTTGAGACTCCAGGCAAAGGAGAGGAGCGTGGATCTGCCAAGACTCAGGGGACCTTACCTGCTGGCACTCAGGATGAAGTCCCTGAAGAAGCCTTGGCAGCCTGGGAAGGCCGGGGGCGGGCAGGGGCCCCCGCTACTCTGAGGGGCCACGAGCCGCTCCTGCAGCTGCCGCAGCCGCCCCAGCTTGTCAGCTCCCAGCATATTCAGCACATCCGGCGCCTCCCCCAAGACGGCGCCCCCAGCACCGCCAGGGCTCTGACACATCTGCGACGGCGGGAGGAGGGAGACAAAGTGAGGACAGGCAAACACGGGGAGAGAAGAGAGAGATGGAACACAAAGCCGGGAGGAGGGTGGCATACCGGAGTGCGTGCTTAACATCAGCAAGGCCCTAGGCACTCACCCCAAGCACCACTGCAGGGATGGGGCGGCATTTATGAAAGGGGAATTTTTTGTTCTAAAGCAGGATAGATAATCTACAAGGTTGAAAACTTGCCAACAATCACCAGAGCTGAGAGAGAGAGAGAGAGAGAGAGAGCGAGCGAGAGTGCGTGCGTGCGTATGTGTGTGTTGGGCCCTGAGCCCTGTCCCTTAGCTCTTTCTTCCAAGGCTGGTGCTCTACCACTTGGACCACAATTCTATACTATTTTTAGTGGTTAATCGGAGATGAGTCTCACAAACACTCCTGCCTGGGCTGGCTTTGAACGAGGATCCTCAGGTCTTAGCATCCTGAGTAGGTAGGAAACAGACATGAGCCACTAGCACCTGAGTAGAGCTAGGATTTTAAGGAGCCTGACTAGTAAAAGTATATTCTCTTAGCATAGGGCAGAGAGTACTCCATCATTTTTTTTTCTTCTGCTCACTCAAGTTTCAATTTTCAAAATTTTCTCTTCCAACTCTAGCCAGTACCTTCTGGCTCTTCTCTCTATACCCTTTACCTGGCTGCCTGCAATGCTGGTCACTGAAGATTAATCTCCTATTACCTGAAGAAGTTGTTTCTGGAAAAGTCGAACAAAGTGGCTGTGGCTGCAGGCTGCTGAGAGTTGACCCATCATGGCTCTGAGGAGTAAGAGACAGGTGAGAAGGAAGAGGAAGAGATCAAAGGGAGATCTTTGTTCAGTGACTGAAGACTTGAGTAGCTCTCTGCCAAGAGTTGGCCTGCAAAAGGACATGGGAAGCTGGGCACCAGTGGCTCACGTCTGTCATCCTAGCTACTCAGGAGGCTGAGATCTGAGGATTGCAGTTCAAAGCCAGCCCAGACAGAAAAGTCTATAAGACTCTTTTTTTTTTGGTTGGTATTGGGCCTGAACTCTGGGCCTGGGCACTGTCCCTCATCTCTTCAGCTCAAGGCTAGCGCCCTACCATTTAAGCCACAGGGCTACTTCCCGCTTTTTCTGCTTATGTGGTGCTGAGGAATGGAACCCAGGGCCTCATACATGCAAGGCAAGCACTCTACCACTGAACCACCTTCTCAGCCCCACCTATGAGACTCTGATCTCCAATAAACCACCAGAAAACCAGAAGTGGTGCTGCGGTAGGGCGCTAGCCTTGAGCTGAAGAGCTGAGGGACAGCGCCAGGCCCAGAGTTCAAGCCCCATGACTGACCAAAAAAAAAAAAAAAAAGGACATAAGAGAAGCCAAACGCTATTTCCCTGAGCACCGAGATCCCTTGAGGGGTCTTAGAGGCGCATTTAACCAAACAAGAGCTGCCCTCTCAGGTCCTCAGGTGGCCAGAGGCCCCTTGTTCTGCAGCCTGGTCCTCTAGCTATGCTTTATCAGACTCACCCAAACTAATCAATGGTAGAGAAAACAGAAGTTGGAGGAGTTGTGTCAGTTATTTGGGCCAAATTTCAAACAACCTGGACTGAAGTTTTACCCTCCCTCAAGCATTTGTCAGTACAGAACATGTACAAATGTACTTCTGAGTGCAAGGAGCTAGAGATACAATCCCTTAGGAGCCCGGGCTGAGCTGTCAATAACTAGAGCCTGAGGATGGTAGAAGAAAACAGGAAGGAGGGGATGCCTTTCTCTAATTTGGCTCTCCAAACATCACTAAGCTGCTCACTGTCAGAAGCAGGAAGATAAGCTGACCAAGGGCTGAACACTCACCTGACTCTGCTGCCTACGCCCTTCTCAAAATCCCAGCCAGCCTCCTCATGGCGATCTTCCCATTCTCGAAGCACCTCGTAAAACACATCCCTGACAGACACAAGATGATGAGCAACTTGTTTCTGACTGCTTTCCCTGATTTGAAAGGCTGGGGACAGACCTATCCAAAGTCCTCTACTGATAGTAATGCTAGAGATGCAGAAGTAGTACACCACAGGCCTCCTGGACTTCTGCGGACGGTGAAAGGTGACCTGACGCTCTCATCTGAGAACCCCAAAAACCACAGTCATCTAGCTGAGAGATGGCTGGCTCAAGGGGTTCAAGTTCACATGTATCACCCGGATGAAATCAGTGGCTTAGGCAGACTGGCCTATCACTTGTTAGTGACAAAACAGCTGCCTACCCCCTCCCCAACAGTTCCCATGGCTTTTCACCTCTGCTTTTTAAAAGTATGAAAGGCTCGATCACTGGAGAAGTTAGCACGATTGTCAGTTTCTGGCTGAAAGGAGACAGCTTGAGCAGAGGGTGGCATTGTCAGAGAGACCTAAAATATGGAAGAAACATCAGGAACTAAAACTGCAAGAGCATGTTCAGAAGACTTCACCCCTGATTTCTGATTCCCTGATTCCGTTGTCTCAATTTATGAACGTTAGGAAGGACCTGGTCTGAGTTAGTAGGCATCTAATCTGGGGCCCCTACCTTGGCAACACTGCCCTCATAGGCAGCTCGAAGGCGGCCTTGCAGAGCTGGTGAGAAGCATAGCAGCCGCTCATTCTCAGCCAGCAGCTTTAAGGTCCCTTTGTCCAAGTAGGAAAGAACCCTGCGGAAAGAGCACATAGGACCAAAACTGGGACCTGCACACCACACAGTAGGTGTACAGCAAGGTCATGAGCCGAGAATCAACATGATGAATGCAAAGGACGGCACAATAAAACCTTATAGAGCAGGGATCAAGCAAACAGCAGTTCAGGAATATTAGCCATAAACACAAACGTCAGCTGCCAGGCCTATTTACATTCATAGCCCCGACAATTAAAATGTTAAATGCTATAGATGGGAAAGGTCTAGGCCCCTGTGGCAGTGTTGAGCAGAAGCCTCACCTCACCCGATGAGAGCCACACAATGAGAATAAGTCCCAAATACCTCAATCAGAGAAACTCACTGAAACTGATGCTCCAAAACCTGCACTGCAAAGAAGACACAGTCGTGGATACTCAGGAACAGTGGGCTTTCCAAGGAATCTAGGACCATAAATAACAAGCTAGCAGTTAAGGACTGACTGTATCATCTATAGAGCCCATTTCTCCAAATGATGCTTGCTCGCTGACCTAGGGTACCTGGACTTGGTTCGAGGTCCCTGTCCTTGGTAGCCACTGTCCTTCGGGCAGTAAGGAGCTGAAGGACAAAGAAGAGCTCCAAGAATAGGTTTGGTACCAGGTTCTCTGAGCAGAAAAAGGAATCACAAGGCTCAGTTCTCAACGCTTCACCGATTCTTGTCCTGCCCTGCGGTTGACAGCTCCCTGGGCTCCCGCTTACCAGCAATGCATGAGGAGTAGATGAGGGCCACCAGCTCCAGGCGCTGGTGGGAAGACACTCTGGCAGGGTCTGCAGGTTCTGCGGCGAGGTTTCCAGTCCGGTTGGGAACAGGAGACCCCGATTCTGGGGTGGGACAGGCAGGGGCGGGTGGCGGCCGCAGCTGCTTAGAGCTATGGGAATAGAGAGAGGCCGTGAGCAGACTGCGGCTTCCAGCCACACACCGTTCCTCCTGAGAAGCCGCGAACAGCCCACGAGGCACACCCAGAGCTCCCTAGGGGAAAGAGCAATTTCAGAAAATAACAAACAAACAAACAAATTTTCAAAAAGCCCTGCAGGTCCCCAACCAGGGAGGAGGCTGACATCCCAGAGAGCGGCCAGGCCATACCGCTCCTTCCTGAGCATCTCCCGCTCCTCTTGCAGACTTCTGCACCCTGGGGGAAGGCCAAGGCCCGGAGGGCTAGTGTCCGGGGCTGAGGGTTGGGAACTGGGGACACAGCTGATTGGGGGTGAGGTGAAGCAGGTCTTGGGCTTGGACAGTGACCGCTCTTCGCTCACCGGAGTTGGGTTGATCCTGCGAGAAGGCTTCGTCCTGCTGAGAGTGGCCACAGGTTGTTTTGGGATTTCCCCCCCCCCTCCGCCCCCCCATCCTC